TTTGAGGGTGACCGGCCTCGCAGTGATCGGACCTGGCTTTGAGGCGAAGTCGGGCCTTTTGGTTAACTGCATTCAGGGAAGAAGTGGAAGAGGCTTGTTTGGACACAGCCACGGCTTTACCACTTTTGGAAGAGCCTATGGCCAGGTTTGAATTGTTTCCGCTTGCAGCTTTACTCAAGCAATCGCCGTCCTCTTGTATGAATCAGCTGTTAATTTCAACCTCCCTTCGCAGCCTTCTCCCATCCGAATGCCCCGTTTCTTTGTCCACTCCTCCGGGGTCCTGCTTTCCCTGGATGTGTGCTCCTTCCCGGGGTCCCTGACATCTCGCCCGCGTATTCACACAGCCCGATTCGGATTGGAAGCCCTGAACATGGTGTTCTTAATTCAGCCCTCTTCAAAAGATTCATTTTGTTAATCTTCGGATTCTGGCACACGGTGGGGAGAGGAATGCTGATTTCTGCCTAGTTTGAAGGGAAAATAATTATCAATCAGTTAACATAGCTCTAGGTCGGAAAAATATTAGTCATTCCGACGTGGCGTCCCGGCCACGCTCAGCGCGCCTGGCTGTGAATGACCCTGCTAAACGCCAGCGCAGGGGGATGAGCCGCTCCAAGGATCGCCGAGATTAGGCTCCGCGCTTGCCTACGGGCTCACAGAAACGGGGGTGCTGTTTCCCAGTACTGTACACAAGTCAACGCTTTCCCTCAGTAACTGTCAAAGGTCTCCCGAGTCGTTTGTGTAGTCTGTCTCCCACTTTTTTGCCCAGAGGCAAAGGACCATCTATTTTCACTTACAAAGACCAGGCCCAGGAACCACATTCACAAGCAATGTCACTAAAATTTGTCCAGGAACCAGAAAGTGCTGTCGTTATCGTGATAATTGAACTGTAGCGTTCACAAGACTCTCTCTGGATGTTGGTTAATGCAATTTCTCTGGGAGGAGGCATCCAGAATTCTGCACTGCTGAGAGACACCCAGATGAGTGTAACGTGGGGTGGTTCACAAACTATGCTTTAAGGTATCCCACTGGACTGTCTTACTGCTTCAAATGCCAAACTTAGCCATAAGAGACTCAATGTGGATCCAGGGCCAGACTGGGAGTCAAGAGACTTCAAAATGTGTCATAGGAGTAGCCACACAGAAGTCAAAAAGCAACAACTTTGGTCCCAATCACATTGTGGAAGATGTAAGGGAAATAGCAGATGAATCTGCTTCCCTTACAAAGGCTATTAGTTTAAACATTAAAACAAAATAGATTCACAATAAAAAATTGTAATTTGCTTGAAAAACAACAGGAATCTTATGAATGAACACTCAAGAACATCCTATATAGACCTATATAGGGCAGCCTATAAATACCACATAATGATGAACAAGTCGTTTTTAAAAAAATCTAATTTATGCCGGGCTTGGTGGCTCAGCCTGTAATCCCAGCACTTTGGGAGGCTGAAGCGAGTGGATTGCCTGAGGCTGTGGGTTCGAGATCAACCCGGGCGACTTGGCAAGACCTCGTCTCTACAAAAAAATAAAAAATAGCAGGCCATGGTAGCGCACGTCTGTAGTTCCGGCTACTCGGAAGGCTGAGGTGGAGGGATCGCTGGAGCCCAGAAGGTTGATGCTGGGGTGGCTGTGAGTGTGCATGCCAGTGGACATGCATGCCACTGCACTCCAGCCTGGGTGAAGAAGTGAGACTACAACTCAAAAAAATTCTAATTTATTTTATTTATTATCTTTGTATATTTTGTGGGTCTGATTACACTTCAGTACTTAGGACAGCATTAACATAATACAAGATAATAGTTGATATTTGCAAATAGTATTTTCAAAGACCAGTATCCAGAAATAACAGCTCATCTGTCCAGGCTTTAGTCTTAATCTTGCATTATGGGGATTATTCAGAGGCAAAGTTCTTTTTAAACCTCACATTTTTGTTACATGTCTAGTGGAATAGATTGGACTAGGACTCCAATTTTTCTAGTACAATCCATGTGACAGCCAGTGAGTCTAAGCCAATTACATCAATTTAATGTACTTCAATTATCTCATCTGTAAATACATTTCTTCTCTACTGTATATGATGATGAGATTCACATGAGATCATATGCAAGACACTTTTTTGAAAAGTGCTATAAAACTGTAAGGCAGTATTAATGTGAGGTGCAGTGAAAATGTATGACCAAATGATTTGTAAAATTATTACAGAGTGAAAATGACAGAATTGTCTTTTGAGATTGATATAAGGTGACCAATCAGGGATTGTAAGAGTCTAGGGACAATCTGGGACTGGTAGGAGAATAAAGAAAAATGATAGAATTATTAAAATAATGGCATTTCCACAAACAGGGATATTTTAGTTCAGACTATTCATGCCGTTTTCAAATATTCCTTTGAAGAAGCTGTAAAAATAAAGATGTGCATCTTCATAAAGTTCATAACTTGTAAATATACTTGCATGTTTCTGTCATTCTCTTTATCACCTTTTAACAATAAGTCATCTGCAATTTTTAAAAATGTTTCCATTGTGCTTACTTAAAACTTTTTTTTTAGTTTTCTTTTATTTTAAATTGACACATGATTGGACACATTTTTGGGGGCACAGTGTGATGTTTCAATACATGTATAAATTGTGTAATAATCAGATTAGGGTAACTATCATATTCATCATCTCAAATATTATCATTTCTTTGTTGTAAGAACGTTGGGGATTCTCTCTTTAAGTCAATTTGAAATACATAATATACTCCCTCCCCCTCCTACTTTCACCAACCTTTGGTAACCAGTATTCTACTCTCTACTTCTATGAGATCAAATTTTTAGATGCCACATATAAGTGAGATCATGCAGTATTTGGCCTGCTGTGCCTGGCTTATCTCACTTAATATAATGTCCTCCAGATTCATCCATATTGTTGCAAATGACAGGATTTCATTCTTTTTAATAGCTGAATAGTATTCCATTGTGTAGATATTAGTATAATAGTATTTCAATGTATATATACTACATTTCAAAAATTCATTCATTCATCCACTGATGGAAACTTAGGTTGATTCCATATACTGGCTATTGTGATTAGTGCTGCAATAAACATGAGAATGCAGAACTGTCTTCACCATACTGATTCCGTCTCCTTTCAATATATACCTAGTCATGAAATAGCTGGATCATATAGTTCTATTTTTAATTTTTCTTTTTTTGAGTTGGAGGCTCACTCTATTGCCCAGGCTAGAGTGCAGTGGCATGCTTATTACCACCCCAGTGTCGACCTCCTGGGCTCCAGCGATCCTTCCGTCTCAGTCTTCCAAGTAGCCGGAACTACAGGCATGCACTACCATGCCCAGCTAATTTTTTGGTTTATTGTAGAGATGAGGTCTCGCCAAGTTGTCCAGGCTGTTCTCGAACTCCTGGGCTCAGGCAGTCCCCTCACCTTGGCCACTCAAAGTGCTGGGATTACAACTTGAGCCACCGTGCCCAGCCTATTTTTATTTTCAAGGACCATACTGTTCTCCATAATGGCTATCTATAGTAATTTGTATTCTCACCAGTAGTGTATAGGAGTTCTTCTTTCTCCATATACTTGCCAACATTTTTTTTGGTCTTTTTGATAATAGCCATTCTAACTGGAATGAGGTGATACCGCATTGTGACTTGGTTTTGCATTTCTCTGGTGATTAGTGATGTTGAACATTTTTTTTCATATACCTGTTGGCTGTTGAAATGGCTGTTCAGGTCTTTTGCTCATTTTTTAATTGGACTTTGTTGTTATTATTGAAGAGTTGGAGTTTCTTATACATTGTGAACATTAACCCCTTGTCAGATGCTTATGTTGCAAATGTTTTCTCTCATTCTATAGGTTGTCTCTTCACTCTGTTGATTGTTTCCTTTGCTGTGCAGAAATGTTTTAGTTTGGTGTAATCCCATTTGTCTATTTTTGTTTTTGTGGCCTGTGCTTATCTAAAAAATATCCTTGCTTAGACCAATGTCATAAAGTGTTTCCCCTATGTTTTCTTCTAGTAGTTTCATTGTTTCGGGTATTACATTTCAGCCTTTGAATTGATTTTATGTACATGGTGAAGGAAAGGATTTAGCTTCACTCTTCTGCAAGTAGATATCCAGTTTTCCGAGCACCATGGTTCTCTCTGTTTTAATTCTGAAATTATCTTGTGCCACTACTGTGGTGAAAACACAGATATTTATTATTAACTGAATTCTCTGCTAGGCTGGAGACTTTTGTCCTGGAAGTACATACTAATCTTTTGACCTTTGGTAATTCTTTGACTTTTGCGAATACAAATCTGTTATTGAAGGAGTCATGCAGTCTATCCACTGAGTTGTGCCTAGTCAGTCACTCAGTGACACTAGATTGGAAATACAAAAGGGCATTTAATTTTTTGAGTTCCGAAACATGAAAATAAA